CCGATAATGAATAACGGTTTTAATAATGATATTTATTATTTCGGATATATTCATTTAATATTTATATTAATTCATAATAATTATTACATCAATTTATAAGTAATGTTAATTAGTAATAATATTATTATTATCAGTAATTATAATTAATAATATTATTATTTTCCATTAATTATTAGATGTAGTGAAAGTTAATTTATTAAACTTTTAATTATTCAGCATTGTTAAATTAATTAATTATAAAATCAATTATTATTTCATTATTTAGCAAAAAATAATAAATATTAAAACTTTCAGTTATTCAATATTTTTAAATTAAATTAATTAAAAAATTATTACTTCATCAATTAAATGCAAAAATTTAATTACAATAAATTAACAACTTAATAATAATATATAATATAATAATAATAGTAATTATTATTATTATTATTATTGTAATCTTATAATTATTTCTGATTTTATAATTATTAAAATATTAATAATACTGATTATTATTAAAAAATTGTAACTAGCAATATGTAGTTACTTAAATTAATTGCTGAAAATACTACTATTATTACTGGTTTCATAATCAATACACACATAATAAGAATACATTATTAGTTAATAATAATAATAATAATATTATTATTATTATTATTACTGATTTCATAATTATTAATATATTAATAATACTGATTATTATTATCAAAATTTAATTACTCAAAATTATTTGCTGAAATTACTCAAAATTACTCAAACTTAGAGGTGACCTCCATACTCGGGATGGCCTATTATTCTCCTTTCTTTCCTGTTTCCTCTCTTGGATGAGTTTTGGTTTAGTGGTTGAAGACTTAATATTGTAATTAGATTTTTTTGGTAATAGTTCAACTAACATTAATCCTTTTGTGACAAACTTCAAAGTTATCTTTGTGGTATCAAATTAGTAGTTTGTATGAACTTAGCAAAGATGGCCAAGTGGCAAATAGTTAGTAGTGGATTAGTGAATGCAAACAGCTTTTGTTAGCGGGGACAGAGAGCGTTTTTGTGGATAGAACTGGGGACCTATACTTAGGATTCAAAATCATCATCAATCACATTTATTTAGATAGAAGAGGTGCATTTATGTTTGTTTGGAGAAGAGTTCAAATCTGCGCCCCACAGCCTCTCGCCACACAAACGCCCCACACATCGAGCATCCACCACCTGTCCATTTGCACGCGGTCATCATTCCCATGTACGGGGCTAACGGGACAACTCAACTCTCCTTCTCCGGCACCAGGTATTCTCCAACATTCAAGGTTTGTTTATCATCCCAGTCACCCCCATAGTCTTCTTCTTTTTGATCATCATCAGCTTTGATGAGAAAACTGTTCCTGCCGCCTTGGGTACAGATTCCATCTATATCGTCCAAGTAGTCGCCCTTGAAATCGAAATCGACATGGGGTGGATTTAAAAATGGAATTTGAAATCTCAGCGAAGGGGGGCGATGCATTTTGAAGTGGAAGAAAGGCGTCTTGTCGAAAGAGAGCTCCCTCTCCCCGTAAAGAATGGAGTCCCGATCGGCAGTGTTGCATAGGTTCATGATGTGGTTGGGCAGACTCACTTAACCAACCGGGAGATCTGTCTGTTGTAAATCCACTTTGGATCTCAGACCTCTCACCCTTCAACTTCAATTCATCATATTCATTGGTTCCTTGCACTTCAAACCCACTATAGTATCGGCCTACACAGATACAAGCCGTTCGTTATTTGCAAGGTTTAAGCGCTTCAAGCACCTGAATGGCTGAACCTGAACAATAATGGTATCTGAAATGAGAAAACAAAATATCAGAGAACAGGGGTAATACCTGATCAAGGTGAATTCATCGGAGCGGTCGCCGGTGCCGGAGAAGGAAAGCTCAGGTGGAAGGGAGAAGAACGGAGTCAGGGGACGGCCAGTTCAAGCACGAGGGATCGGTTGAGTTGTCTCGTTAGCCCTGCACGCGGGAATGCTGATGGCGTGCGAATGAACAGGTGGCGGACGTTCGGTGTGTGGGGCGTTTGTGGGGCGAGAGGTGGTGGGGCGCAGACTCTTTGGAGAAAAATAAAACACATAACTTTTGTTGGAATTTTATGCAAGCATACGTGCTCCTATTTCCTAATTTAAATGGTTAGAAAAGGGGCTAAAGTATTTATTAAAGATAAATACCGATAATTAACATTAATTAATTTGGTTTGGTTTTAAACCAAACCCGGTTAAATCAAAAACTGATAATTAATAACATTATTAATAATAATTATTTTATATTCATAATAATTAATAGTAATTAATTTATAATTATACAAGTACTATTAAAATAATAATAATTAATTTATTAAAATATTATTAAGTACATACATAATAAGAAAAAATTATTACTTAATAATAATAATAATAATAAATATTATCTTATATATATATACTATTAAAGGGATAAGGGTGATCTCCCCTTTCGCCAAATGATATATATATATATATATATATCCGGTTTCGGGTCGACGGTTCGATCGTCTTATTTGAAAGAATGGTCCATTCTAACAACAAAAATTACAAGTAACAAATTATGGAACTGTTCTAGCCACTAGTTTCAGGTCGACGGTTTGACTGTCCGATTCGAACAGACGACCCGTTTTGACAACAAAAATTGCAGGGAAAAAATTGAGTGCGTGAGGTCCACTAAGCAATATCATACGTGTTATGTCATTTGAGTGTGTGACTCATCCGACCCGAAAAGGGTACCACTCTGGCCACCAATTTTTGGGTCAACTATTCGATTGTCTAGCTCGAATGGGTCGATGCTTCGACCACTTGGGTCAATGGGTCATTAACGATTCAACGATATTTTGCCAGGGACCAGGATTGGGGTAAAATGGAACCGGTTGCTTGGACAGTTCCCAATTAAAAAAAATGGTGGTTCGACCGTCTAGTTCAAACGAACAGCCCATTCTGACAACAAAAATTACAAACAAAAAATTGAGTGTTTGAGGTACATTAAGCAGTATCATTCGTGTTATGTCATTCGAGCGTGTGACTCATATGATTCAAAAATGGAACTGATGAAGGAAGATTTGGCCCGACCTCGCAAATCACGGCACGTGGCAAAAGAGCAAGTAGCTCAGCACTTAAAACAGCGTACCGAGGGTACAAACGCCAAAGGGAAGGGACCAGCAGGTCCGAACTCCCTAGCAAGGGGCCCGAACTCCCTACTTAGAGTTCGAACTGCCTACTTAGTGGTCGAACTCCCTGCAAGGTGCCCGAACTCCCTACTTAGTGGTCGAACTCCCTACTTAGTGGTCGAACTCCCTGCAAGGTGCCCGAACTCCCTACTTAGTGGTCGAACTCCCTGCGAGGAGCCCGAGCTCCCCCTTTGGCCCCGAGTCACACAAAGCAGAGACCCGAACTGGCCCATCTTATGACAGTTCGAGGCCCCCCTTATCCGAACTCAAGACTTCGCTCATGCACCGCTCCAGGCACTTCGCTTCCGGAGCATTGAACTGGACGAACCGCGCCATACCTGACACCGAAGGAATCCGTATCCAGGGGCGGCGCACCTGACTGACTTGGGATCTAACGCTTGATGGCCGCATTTCAAACGGCCACCTGCCACCGTCACCTGCCACCTGTCACCTGGTTTTTGTCTAGGGATTGGGATTAGGGTAAAACGAAATCGGTTGTCTGGACAGTTCCTAGGCCGAAATGTTCATCCGTTCGGGTCAACGATGATTCGAAAATCATGGTTTTTTATGCTTTTGGATTTTCACTATTCAAAGGTTTCTTCTATTGTTGGCTTTATTCTAGTGTGTGCGGTATGTTCCTTTTTTTTCATTTTTTTCTTTTGTTTTTTTTTTTTTGTATTTGGTCTTCTTCTTCTTCTTCAAGATCCTCTAAAACGGGGGTTTACCACCATTTTATTTCTTTACTTTTATTTTTTCTTTGGATTTTCTTGTGCAATTTTTTTTTTCTTACAAAACGATCTACTTCGTCTCTTTCTTTGATTGCATGTATGTTTAGTTCCATCTCAAAGCGGAACTTTGGACTCAATTTTCTGATTTTTTTTTTCCAGTTTGGTGGATCTACCGCCATTTTTTTTGTTTAAGGTCACTTTGGATTTATCTTTCAAGGTTTTAGAATCCCTTGTAATGTCCACCCTTCCCATGACTATGGCTACAAAGTTATTTCATCTAATTATTGGCATCTAGAAAAAACGACCTAGAAATGGAACCGTTCTGGCCATCGATTTCTAGAATAGATGGCCCATTCTGATAACAAAAATTTAAAATAAAAAATGGCCAAAACCCATTGAGCGGGTCGACGCCTCGGGCCAACGGGTCATTGACTGATTCAACGATTTTTGGCTAGGGACTGGGTTTGGGGTAAAACGGAACTGATTGCCTAGATGGTTCCCAAGCCGAACGGTCCTAATTTCTGAGTCAACTAGGAGTTCTCGATGTGAAACAAAAGACATCTATGAAGTAGAACTCAGAACTATCATTGTATGATCATATTCTTTTACGTGAGATACTTTGTTGAAGCAATATTTAAAAAACAAGCACATGATGATCTCTTTTAAGTCTTTATATGAGTTTCAAGACTTAAATATTTATAGTTGCAAGTTTCTTATTAAGAAACCATTATCTTTTTTAATGTAGCAATGCAATTCCATTCCAACCCCTGGGAAGCAAGGGCTCTCTACTAGTTATTATTATTACATATAATTATTAGTTAATATTATTAATGTAATAATATTAATTAATGATAATAAATTATTACTTAATAATAATAATAAATATTATTATTAATACTATTACTACTATTAACATTAATAATATTTAATATTAACATTAACAATATTAATTAATAAGTATATGTATACAATTAAAGGGTCAATCACTAGTTTTAAATTACGTTATAAGGCCCGGAATCGGGGCCGGGGCCGGGCCCGAGCCCAGGTTATAGCCCTTAATCCCTTATCATACGCTCAAAGCCTGGCCCAGAATCGAGGGTGATCCTGCATGTCATCCCGTTTATGAACCGAAATGGATTTCCCGCTGAAAATATAAGCCCCAAGAACCTCTGAGCTCGCATCAGTCTTCTCCCTTCTGCTCGTACTTATTCGGTTCTCTGGTTTCTTCGCAGTGATCAGCGAATTCACGAATTCAAAAGACGTAAGCAGGCGCAAGCATTGAAAGCTCTGAAAGTTCAATCGATTAACCGGAAAGCGAAGCGAAGGAAAATTGGAAATGAAGTCACCTTCAATGTTTCAATCTAGAAGAGATTGAATTTTAGTTGAAGTTTAGGGCTCTCGCAATCTGAATCTCCTGGAACTACTGGAAAAAGTTCAAATGAAGTTAAAGATCAATAAAGCCTGCGATCTGAATTCCATTTCTGTCCTTCCTCCTCATTCCAGGTTACGATCAGTAACAGAAGAATAGACTAACTAGTTCCGATTTCTCTTCTTGATCTGTTTCCTTCTTGTTTTGATTATTGTCCAGGAGACCAAATGCTGCTCCAACTGGGGCGGATTCCTCGGTTTTTGGTAAAATCCAAGCCTCTCAGCTTCGATCGCAGCAGTCGCAGCAATCGTTTTCCCAAGGGGTTTCTTCTCAGCTCGGAATGTCGTCACAACTCTCACAGAATTCTCTTGATGAAAATGTGGCTAATGAGCAAGTACGGATTTCCTTTTTTCCCGTTATTCGTGGAATCATAGTGCTGTTGAATATGAAGTCTTCTTTCTTTGCCCTTCTAATGTATTTTGTATTTTGATGATTCATTTAAATATAATTCCACTTTTTTTTTTTTTATAATTATCTCTGGCTAATACAAGTTAGCTTCTCTTTTTGAAAGGGATATATCTATTCCCTCAGTTGCTAGTGTTCTGATAAGTAAAGGAGAAACCTTGATCTTCATTTTGCTGTTTTAGTGTGGTTATTAATGAGCTCATGAAAGGTCGGAGTTTCCGATTTCTTCTCTTTTCCTTGTCTTCTTCCTACCTTTTGGAAGAAGTCATGTTAAATAAAGAGAGAATCTCACATACACTCTAAACTCTTGTTTCCCCCTAGGAAAAAAATCAATTTCTTAAATCTTGTTTTTTACTTGATTCTGAAGATCGACTTTGATTATTACTAATAGATTATAGTTTTTTCTCATTTCTCCCTGCTTGAGAGTTGCATCTTGGAACTGAGCTTCTAGCTTTTCTTTCATTTTGTAATTTACTGGAAGTTTGTTTTGTGTTTAATAGAATTCTATTTTGATATGTTTATCTTGTAAATTTCATATCAATTTTCCATTTCTGTATATCGTTTTATAGATGATAATTTCTTTAATTCAAGAATTTTCATGTACACATTAGAATTGCCCAGGACAAATGGTAGTTTTAATTTAGAGACGTGTCCATCTATTTCCTAGTAGTCTTATCATTTTTTGAAGTCCCATATTAATGCTTACTTTAAACTTCGTGGCAGGAAATAGGTGGACATGGTCTCTAAATTAAACCTACCATTTATCCTGGGCAACTCTAATATGTATAAGAACATGAAAATTCTTGAAAACTCTATAGAAGAAGAATTAAATATTGTTTTTTGCCAAGGAGTTCTGGATGTCTCTTTTCATGAATGTCATGTTCTGGTGCAGCTATGTCGATGTCATGAAAGTTTGCCAATCTTTCTAGAGTTATTTAAGTTTCCATTTCCATTTCTATTAATTGCCTCTTGATGTTTTCTCAGAAATATGGCCCCCAAGAAAGAGAGAACTCAGTGAAGAGAATTTCATCCTTGGTACCTGCTACTCATACAAGAGAGGACACTCCGATGCCTTTTTCAAGATCTTCCAACAATCTTATGCGCAAGTGGAGTTATGCTTCAGCTATGGATCAACGATGTAGTTCTAGACTGGTTTCCAAATTATTTGAGTGAATAATCATTCCTCATCCATGATATAAGAAATAATGGATTTTATCGTTAATTATAATTAAGAGATTTCTCAAATAACTTGAGTTTTACCAATTCTAAACCATGCTTGCTTAGACGGGTAATTCAAGTTTGTAAAGTTTCATGCATGGGCACATTTATCATGGGATACTAAATGTTGACTTTCCTGAACAGGTCAGGTTAGCGAAGAACTTGACAACAGGATTGGGTTGATGGAGACTTCAGTAAACAGGTTGGGAATGATCCTGGATTCCATCCAGAGTGACATCATGCAAGTAAATAAAGCAATAAAAGAAGTGTCACTGGAGAGTGAGTTTACCAAATTCCTAGTACTACCAAAATTTGGAATGCATAGTTTAAAAGGAACTATCCTCATACACTGAAGTTGCAATTCCAAGTACCGTCTTGTGAATAATGAACTCCTCGAGAAAGGGAAACAAAGAATATTTTTAAGCATGGAGTGTAATAGTTCTTCATTTTAGCATCTTATTTGTATGGTTCTGCTAGTTTATGAAATTTATGGCTTCTCATTCAGTGCAAGGCATACGGCAGAAGTTGGTTGCTCATGATGACTCCCTGCAGTTAATGGTAATAATGGGGGATTGTATCGTTCTTGTTTGTTTCCACTGTTGATGCATTTTATTTTCATGAATATAAACCCTATTTAGTTCTGAGATTGTAATGTGTTAACCAGCTCAAGGGGGAGGAAGATATCAAAGCTAGCCTTGATGTTGGCTTGAAATCTATTCATGATCAACTGAAAATTGATTCTAAGTGGTACAAGCTAGAGGATGGAATCTCTGTACTTTCTGCTTTACCAGATCAAATTGGAACACACTTCCTGAAGTTACAACGTGAACTTTGTGGAGCCTTCACCAAAGAAATTGATGTATGATATCATATCATTCAAAAATTGAAATGTACTCTCTGTTAGGATGCATGATAGATTATTTGTTTCTCTATCCCCTCATTTACATCTCTCAATTTTAAAGTTTCTGCTTCTTCATGCTGCATGTTTCATCTAAGTTGTTTAAATGAACTGGCATGGTTAAGGAAAGAAAATTTTGCTTTGTTAAAATCTGAACAGATGTAGTCTAAAGAAACATGGGAAGAGATTTGAAAAAAAAAAAAAAGAAATGCATTTGTCCATCAATGTTTTGGTCTTTATTTGTATATTCTCCAATGGTTGCAGGCAATGGTGAATTTTATGAAGCTTCCCAACCATAGCCATTCAGTATGCACCATTTTGCCAGCAAAGGTATCTTATTTTTTACTTGCACATGGGTGACCTACTATTCTTTTCTGGAGACCATCTACCATGCATGGGCTATGTAATGAGACCCCCCTTCCTGTCTGGATCAGAGAGCAATGGCCCTTTATTGATGGGCTAACCCTAGAAGCACCCTAGGTTTTCCTGGAGTTGCCCTGATATCGTCATCGATGGGAACAAGTAGTCTCCATAGCATTTTTCTAGTGTATTTCTGTTTGATAAAGTTATAAGATTTCATGTTTTGCAGAGAGGACGCCATGCTAATCAATCTCGTAAAGAGCAACCACCTTCCATTAAGAAGTAAGCTTTGACTCTCTACCTGGATTTTGATCAAATTTGTTATGCAATATATGACTTCGGTACATTCAATGGATGAGAAAGTTGCATCCACAAAGAGAAAAGCAATATGGAAATAAATTGAGTAATTCCCAGAAATAGGGCAATGGTGTTTCCATTGACAATTACAGGTTTCCTGAGCACATTGAACCACATTTTTATGCAGGAGACAATGCCATGCTGATCAATCTTTCAAAGAGAAACTTCCTTCTATGAGAAAGTATGTCTCTGGACACTATCTGGATCTTAAACAAATTAATTAGACAAGATATGCCTAGGTACACACTACAAAGCATATGGCGAGTTTGGCTTTCAACAAAGTATGGTTAAAGTTGAGAAACTCCAGAATTAGAGAAATGTGTATTTTGTTGACATTTGTAGGAGTCTGGTGCAAATTAGATGATGGGGGTTGGAATTGCACAGGCATTATCATATTCTTTATATTACACAGAGCCTCATGCTAAAAAGATGGTATGTTACATACAATGGTTATGACTGCCATGAAATTATTCATTTCCTTTATTAGTTATGGCCTTAAGCAGTGGAATTGAGGGTTTGTATATCTGAATCAAACACTTGGGCTAAGATGACTTCTTAAACATACTGTGCTATGTGGCTTTTTTGGCAGTATACCAAGTAGGCTTCTCTACAGTATAGCTTCCCACATTGCAAGATTTTGATCCTTCATGACTGAATGATGTTCATGAAATCTGTATGGTATGCCTCATGTGAATCATATATTTATCAGAACTTTTTTGGTAAACATATCAGAACTAAGGTCTTTGACACTTTGCATATTGACAATTAACTTGCATGCAGCATCCTGAGAACATGCTTCTTCACATTGGTTTCTGTGTAAAGAACTTATCTAATGTTATTGTATGCTTTCTATTTCCTGGATTGAGAAAAATATTGTCATGATTCTTTATGCTTATATTATTAAATGATGTGACTGGTTATTTAGTTTTTTTTTTCTCTTCATTCTTTTCTCCCCTTCTGCTAGATTGCCAAGAAGCTAAAACAATGCTCTTGATTTCAGATTAGTTGTGCCTCCAAAAGTTGACTTGAAAGCAGAATTGATTCCAAATATTGAAATTGGAAGATTGAAATCATTGAAACCAGAAAGAGCCACTTGCACCAATAGAAAGTGTGGTACAGAGCACAAACAGGAAGAGATGCCTATTGCAGAACTGGTAATTCTTAGTAATCCTATATGTTTGGTAGTAGAACAAAATGATTTCCCTTTTTGATATCTAACATACTGAAACCTGCTTTCAAATAATAGACCTGGCACTACAGGTTGAACTGAATAATTTGATATTGTCAACTGATTTTAAGGGTGATATGGTACACTTAGCAGTGAGAAATATTCTCTCTTTTCCATGGGTTAGATGATATACATTTTATCTCCCTGAAACAATAAGATCTGGTTACCAAGAAATTTTCAACAAGTGGATTTTCCTGATATTTTTTACTAGTTTGCCTTTTAATGCTGATAGAAGAGTAAGAGAAAACAAAAATCCAGAGGATTATAAAACATTTAAGAAAAATGCAAAGAAGAAAAATTGTGATAATATAACTGAATATTTTCCTCTTGATTGGTACCAATAACACTTCTCTGTAGAGCAAACATTACGCCCAATGAGATGCTAATAGATGTTGTGAACTCCTCAGTTTACTCAGTGTTGTACTGGTGTGTGATATCATCCAAATCTGCTGTTCCTTCCCAAGTTATGACATTATTTGATCCATTCATTCCTGTATTACTTAAGAAAATTAGAACACTCGTTTCTTTAATAAGGCATATCAAGTGCTTCACTTTTCTGGAACCACTTTCACCTGGTAGGCCTGAGAGACTTTTAATGGTTTTCTCAATGCCTTTGTGTACACATTGCACCTTAATGTTGCCTACAGGGCACCCATCAGATCAGTTTTGTGTTGGCTATACAGGGGAACTGAGAGACTTTTAATGGTTTTCTCAATGCCTCTGTGTACACCTTTCAGCTTAATATTACCTACAGGGCCCCAGCCAGATCAGTTTTTATGTTTTCTATACAGAGGAACTTCAAACTATTATGACATATAATCACAGGCATTTTCTCCATCCTTGTATCTGAGCACTCTTATCCTGATAATAACCTCTAACTTCAGATTTCATATGATTTATCAAATAGCATGGCATAGATCTTTCTTTTCTTTTCTGTCACTAATGATAATACCTAAATTTATATAATAATTGAATAACCAAACATCTTCTAAGTATTGGTCAGGATATCCTATTCCAGCAAAAGGGTTAAGGGAATTTATCATCATCCTGTTTAGGCAGTTTCTTCATGTTATGCATTTTTTTTAGAAATTACTGTTTTTTTCCTTTCATCATCATGCCTTACTGTTTTTCATTTCCATGCATATATTATTAGCAAGTTGTTGAGTTGGTCACTCTTTTATTATTAATGCATATAGTTTCTTTTTTCCTCCTTTTGCCAATGCCTTCCTTTTCTTTTTCTTCTATGATATTCTTGCACTTGGTCATAAATTCTTCTTAATGTGTATATATATATATATATAATCTTAACAGTGTTAACTGGATATGTATTTTGAGAAGTCAAGACCCCAAGACCCAAGATAGCTGGGACCAAGATTGGGTAATGGCCATCTCAAGGCTCTTGAGATACAAAAAATTACTATCTCCAAGTACACCATCGAAGACTTATTTCATCTCTGGACTCTGGGGCTTGGCTATGCTGACATGTTCTTCTGTTTCCTTTTAACTAAATTTTAGTGTGTCTTCTGGTATTGAAATACAGCTTAGGATAACTTTCAACTCATGTACAGTTGGGAATAACTTTCAACATCCATTTGACATGAGACGTGGCATGCAGGAAAGAGAACAGAGAGTACTCATTGAGTCAGATGAGGACATTGATAGGGGTTTCTCCTTCTTGCTTAAAGGAAAAGAATCTGGTAAGCATCTTAAAAAGTTGAGCATGCATATCTCTATAGCTACTGCTAATAGCTATACCTTGTAGAGGTGCAACTTGGGTGGGCTCATTATGGAAATTTATTAAAATTTGAATGGGCTTGGCCCGAAAGCCTGGGCCTGATGCAGTGAACTTCTTCAAATGGGGTATCCGACTTGAACCCTACCTCCTTGTTAATGACCATAATATGCCTGTAAAGTTGTACATTATTTCAGAATAAAATGTTCTGCATCATCCATTGCTTGGTGTAATGGTAAAAATCTCAAGCTGACAAGTGTGAAAAAATGCCAAAAGTTAGCTGGGACCAAGATCGGATAATGGCCATCTTTCTTCATGCATATATTTTGAGTAAGGCGTAACACATCAAGAGTGAAATAAATTAAGGTGTGGATATAGAATTGAAGGTGAAGGAGAAAGCTATACATTGTTTCCGAATAGAATGTTCTGCATCATTCATTGCTTGGTGTAATGGTAAAGTCTCGGGCTGACACCCCAAGACCCCATATAATTGGGACCAAGATTGGGTAGTTTCCATTTTGTTTCATCATATATTTTGAGTAAGGTATACCACATTAGAAGTGAGACATGGAATTGAAGGGGAAGGAAAAAAATATTTTGTCTTATGACAGCCATCATATTTGGAAGTTAAGTTTTATATTAAGGCTTCATGTAGTCTCTCAGCATTCTGCTGAAGTGATATCTATTCTTGGTAAAGGAATAGGAAATTATTTAACAGAGGAAGTAAAGGAAGATACTGAGCGGATTTTGAGGAAAGCAAGAAGGAGAAAGAGAAAACATTGTGATATCATAGTTCTAAATTGAAGGTATGATAATTTGGTCATTACTTGCTTTCCATAGACAATTTTTTTTTTTAAATTGCCATGATAACCTGTTTTTTTTATAGATATTTCCATGATAACCTTTTTCTGCATATTGTTGAATGAGCTTGTAATATTTTTTCAATAGTGCAACTTTTAAAATTTTGGTTGTTGTTCATTCCACAAGTTGTAGTAGGTTTAATGCTCCTGGCATTAGTAGCAGATGGAATGAGAAACCTATGTTTCAGAAGATACTTTTGCCAGGGGAGGGGGCTCATCTCAGAGAGTTGCACAAGTTTAGGGCATTTGAATGCACAGAGTTTATCATTTACATTATTAAAGTCATTTCAAATGTTTATAAAAATAAAAAGAATAGTTCATTTTTGAAATCCTAAATGTTCTTACTTCAAATTAGCTAATGCTGACAATGGAATTTCATGCAATCTCCTTGTTATAAATGCGTATTTGCCTGAATCCATGACAGGCTCATTTAAACTGTACTAGATGCAAAATTGTAAGTGTGGAACTTATGTCTACACGTTATCATTATTCTTGAGTAGCTTGACTGCTTAGATTGTTGGATGTATTTTTTTCCACTACTGATGCTTATCCATAACCCCCCTCTCCTATAGAGAAACTAGCTAGTAGGGGTGTCAATGGACCAGTTTTGGGTTGAACTCCGTCCAAATCAAAATCCATTTGGACGGATTGGACAGACCAATAAGACATATTGAATCTGGATGGACTGGATGGACCAATATGACATATTGGATTGGACTTGGTCCGTCCATAATGAATTTATATTAGATTGAGCCAATACCTGGTCCATTGATAGAAGAACATAGGTATCAATGGACCAGGTTTGAGTTGAAACCAATCTAAATTAACAGGAATTTAAACAGATTGGACAGTCTCTGGACTGGTCCAAAATGGTTCAAAATATTCATTGGACTGGATTGGACCAGGTCCATTTGTAATGGACTCACATTGGACTGGACCGGATTGAACCAAATGCAGTCCAATTGACACCCCTACTAGCTAGCAATTCCTGCATCTGAAATTCTACTTGTGAATTGTGATTTTTTTTTTTTTTGGTAAAAGTGGTACTGCCTCTTAGACCTTAACACTAAATTCTAGATAGATGTTTTCCAAATTGAGATGTACTTTCTGTCATTTCTTTCAGGAACTTTGGACTAATGAAAGATCCATGGTGTTGCTTGAGATATTTTCCATGGCTTGCATAGTAATTTATGGGATTTAGAGATGAACTAGGAGGCCATAGATTGTAGGGCACATTATCTTATCAGATGGAAAACACAAACAACCTGAAAATAAAAAGAACCAAGTCATCCTATATGGTAAATTCAATGAACATACTGTAGAATACCAAGAATAGAAACTGTCATCATACCAGCCATTCCTGAAATAGGGAAGATCTGATGTGATATATACAAGTAACAGTTATAATGGGCGTTAAGTTTGCATGTCATCAAGGGTAGTGGAGTTCTTGCAACAGACGAGATTGATGGTATTTTTTGAATATTTATTTGTTGCAGGAAAGAGTCGAAATGACAATCAGTATATGCTGAAGGGCCTGCTTCGCCATAGCCTATTTGAACATACTTCAATCCAGTATTTGGTGCCTCTGCAAAATGGCAGAGGCGCATGTGCTTCCTTTAGATAGATAGTAAAGCAGATGTGCTTCTGAGGCATTCTTGAGTCAAAAAGTTGCCTTATTGGTGACTCATTATGATGCAACATTAGATCATGTATACATCTCAGTTTACCCGCCAAATAAAAACAATTGATTTTCTTCTTTTGGTCTAAATCTAGATCGCATATAGAAAGGAATGAAGGATGGACATTTGGCAATTTCTCTTAGGAGAGCACTGAGAATCAAATGTAGACCCAGGTTTATCAGCAACCTTGGTCACCTTTGAGCTCTAGTCTTTAAATTTAAATTTTCTTTGTCAAGAACTTTGCTAAAACGAGGTTGTGATCCGTTGCAGGAGGCATCCTTAATGGCGTAATGAGAGTGGTTTGCACCCATTCTATGGGCTGGGCCAATGATATTTAGGGTTGTTAAATAAATGGGCTGGGGCCACTGGGCCAACGCGTTTGTTTTATTATTAAATAAGCTTGGATGGACGCCATATCCTAGTCTTGGGTTGGCTTTGGCGATTTGCAATGAAGTGTCTTGGCCATTTTCTAGCCCCAGTCTGATCCTTCCAAGGATCCTTGATCACACGGTATGTAACTGCTATTATGGTTGGCATCAAGTTCCTGCACGCAAACGCAATAACGATGTCTTCCGTGGTACAAACTGCAAAGCTTTTGCTTTTTCTGCGACGCAACTTGCGAGAAGATCATATACACAAATTTGCATCGATTAATACTACTACTATCAGAAGATTCAGAACTATCCTAAAACTGTACTCTGCCTGGTTGAATGAAGAAAAGAAAAAAGAAAATCATCCATGTAAAGTTGGTTCATGAAGTGGTTAGTCGAGAATGTAGGTGAAACCAGACAATATCATCGCCAGTAGAATTTACCTGTTCAGAAAATCTTCCTTCTGCTTCCCTATCATCACCATCCGCCTGTTGTAATTTTGCCCTTGCAAGCTTTATCTGATGAATTTCCCCTGCTTTATTGCCCAGTAGATTGTCATGGTACGTCAATCAGGTATTCTTGATTGCACAATGGTCAACTTGTGCCATTTCCAACTGTAGATTTTAACCTTTTTTTTTTTTCTGTGAAAGGCGAAAGGTAGATTCTAGCGTTATTTGGTTTGCTAGTGGACGTGGTGAAATCTGTTACTACATTCCAAAGTATTACAACACCACCTCACTGTTCCCACTTACCAACATAGTGCTCAGTAAACCTCATTTGCCAACTTCTCAAAAACATTCATAAAGAATCATTCCGGATCTGCTGAACTTCTTTTCCCAATTTCCTGCATCTCTGACAAGTGCCTCCTGACATGTAATAGGGCACGTCACAGACTGAACGGAAGTGCAGGAAAAATAAAAGTGTGGGAAAAAGGTGTATGAAAAGGAGAACCTGTTTATTAGGAGTAGGGATTGTGTGTAATGGGACACCTGTCATAGATTGAATGCATATGCACGATAAGTTCAATACAAACAAGTGGAGTAGATCTACTGATCTAGACTCGTTTTAGTGGTGTAATTGCCGAAAATGATCACTCTTTGTGCGTTCGAGCGCGTGCTTGTGAACATTAAGGAATAAGGACTATTCTTAATAGTGAAAACATAAATGAAAATTGAAAAGCATGTACAAATTAACGAAGCACTGGTATTTGCTTGACACTGAATGAAGGGCGGTACAACCTGGCTGGTGGAGAAGGATGGATGGCCTTTGATAGTCATTGCTCATAATGAAATTCACTTTTGTTGTTAGATTGCTTTTATTGCCATCATGTAGTTCATGCTTTCAAGAGCCCATGACTCTAGTTCTGGTGCTCGGGCCAAGGGTAAAAGTAAAGACAGTGAGAAAGGGCCATGCCTTGATGGATTGCTGATGTTTACTGGTGTTACTTTGGGATCATCTATAAGATATTTGTTCCCTGGATATGATGTTCTGATTCAAAGTTATTGCATTGAAACTACAACTCCTATCTTATAATTTAACTCATGGGACTTTTCAACTACTAAGCAGCTTAAAAAATTTAGGGCTTCGGCGTTGATTGAGCTGCATTGATTAAATCGCTTCAGAGAAGATACCAAAACTAGTTTTATTGGAAAGTAAATTTCTCAGCTCAATGCAAGCATTTCCTGGCTTTGTGGGTCTTTCACCAAACATAGCGTCACAGCTTTCCGTCTGGGACCTACCTTGCAACACCAGAAGCCGTTAGATGAAAGCCCTGATGACTATTTTGAGGGCTTTCTTGCAGTGTTTTCTAATTTTGCTGAGGGGGGCTTCACATGGACAGCTTATGAGCTACTTTGGTGGAAAATCTGGAAAGCCCAAATATGTTGTCATTCAATCAAAAAATTGGCTTTCAGTGAAGCTTGTATTAATAGTTTCTTCTAACCGTATCAAAGCAGCTCAATCAAAGCTTCAGCCCTCCCAATGGGCCCTAAGTTAATAGAAGAGACTTGCCCGTGTTTCTTATTAGCCCAAAAGAAGAAGAAGAAGAAGAAGAAGAAGAAGAAGAAGAAGAAGAAATTGATAAAGCAAGACTGCATCTTCAGCTGGCTAATTAGTTGAAAGAGTCAACACTCAACTAGGGATGGCAATTTTTCCCCTAAAATCAGGGCCCATCCCTACTAGGCCGCTATGCCCCAAATGGGGCGGACTTTCCTCGATCTTAAATGGGGATAGGGCGGGAACAGGGTTTACATATAATTCCCCAAATCTGATGGCAAATTAGTAAAGTATCCCTAGATTTAATATTGATTCTTAAAATATCTCTAAGCTTTCCCTAAATTCCAAAACGCCTAGAATCCCATAATTTTATTTATAAAGTAATCCCAAATTGTCATAATCTAATTCCTAAAATATCCTCAAATTCTCATAATCATATTTGTAAAACATCCACAAATTATTTTACTTTTAAGTGATAGCCCCGAGGCAAAGAAAATTTAAGAATTCCTCATCCCCAACGAGGAGTGACCGCCCCAAATCCACACCGTTGCCATTCCTACACTCAACATTATTCATAAGCAAGAAAAGGCCACAAGTAGCTCGATAATTAAAGAGGCTATTTAATTCTGCCTCATGTGTCGGCTTAAGTGGTTGGTTTTTCTTTCCTGTCATTGAAGGATGAGTTGGAAACAAACCTCTTTTTGGTACTAACATTGTAATTGTAAAGCTCATGTCCTCCCCATGGGGCCCCAAGGTTCAACCATTAGGAGCCACCACCATGTGCCAACTACTAGGTGTTTTTATTTTTCTTTGCTGATTCGAAGGGAACCATTTCATGAAAGCTGGTCCTGATAAAACTCATGTACGAATCAATATTTTGAGGAACTTGGGTCCAGTTCCTGAATTTTCATTTGCGTTGTAAGGGCGATAAGCATTGTTAAGTCATTTTATTTGTTCATAAGGTTGCTTGTGAAGCCACCTCCAAATAGAGTAATCTAGTCCTGCTTCTTTGTAATGTCTAAAATCCAATGAATGATTAGAATTGTGGAACTTTCATTGGTCAAACACTTGTTAAATGAAAGCTGAATTGTCTTATTAGAGAGATAATAGCACAAAAGGAGGACTTATCTTAATATTAATTAGCCAAATCAATCCCCAATTATATGCACATCCATTAGAATTCTGTAAAGCATTCCTCCCTCTATCTCTCTCTCTGTCACAGACACATATATACACACACATTAACCTTGTCTTTCACTGCTGGATTCATGTAGTGGTGGCCATCTGGTGGGGACCCACCTAAAAGTTGGTAGTGGGTGGAATTTGGAGCCAAATGACTTTGGCTATCAGATGAGTTCCAAGTCAGCCTGATGGCTTCTCTACTGTGTTGATTTGTTATCACATTCAGATGGCTAAGTGGTTTAACAATTGGCTCACATTTAGTTGGCGATGTGGTGTAAAATGACATAAATCCTTGACTTCATTTAAAGGACCCAAGATCTGCCAACCCATTTCAGTAAAGCACAAACTTTTCTTCTTCTTATTAGAAACCCATTTCATTTCTCATGGAACCCTGGAACCCACTCTCTCTAAAGTCATTCAGCTCATCAATATTGATAGAGATAAAAGTAGATATTACACAATCTCCATTACTCTTTTTTTTTTCTTTTTTGATGGATATAGTCTTCATTGCCTTGTTGCACGTAACTAGAGAGAGCCTTTTATTTCTTTCATATAATGGATAAGGGCTCACGGAGCTTTTTAACACTTTTAGGTGTCAAAAAAGATAGCATCCAAACGTCAAAGAAAAAGGGGGATAGGAATATTGAAAATCTTTGCACAATTGCCTCTTCCTACCGACCATCAAACGGAGTAGAAAAAGAGAAGCTGAAGCCGTGAAGAATTAGTAAATCAACAATTTAAGTTTGGTTTGGTCACAAGCTTTGAAGATTAATTCCATTAATCTTTAATAGTCAAACCTGTGACACCCTTTGCTGCAATCCCTAGCTAGCTACATCCTAACCACCAAATTAATACTATAATCTAATAGCATAATCTAAGAATCTGATCCCTGGTACCAGAGTATTTACATAGTGTCCTCTCTCTATTTCTTCAGTAATTGTAGTAATTAAGATTCTTAGTCAATGTAGCTAGTTAACATGGCTGTACCAAACTGGCAGTTAAGACAGAGCTTGTCCTCTAACTAACCCTTTAACCAGATTGGTCTACAACGTGTTTGTGGTGTTTTAGGTTTAAGCCCCCATTCAGTTTTGCCCATCTGAGCACTCTTTGAGGTGGTTAGAGTGAAGGTGTCAGCTGAGATGTAGCTCCCACTGACCTGGGATGAAAACCCACCTTCATTATTTCCTTGAGGAGCTGAATGGGGGGTTGGTGAAAGAGGCCCATTACTGGATCAAAGCTAGTTGTAATGAAACTGAATAATTACATTAGAATTGATTGCATTTATTTGATCCTGTTAATATTTCTCAGCCAACCACCCCCACCTTACCTCTTTTGTATTATTTTGGGCTCCAAGCATCTCTCTCTCTTTCTCTGGGAAAAAGTTTTTTTTTTTTTTTTATATGGGCAGAGTAGAAACTAGAAAGTAATTGGGATTTATCAAGATAAAGGTGTAGGTTATTTAATTAAGTTGGATTAGTTGGGGGAGATAAGGACATTAGCACCTCATTTGCCAATTTTGATGGGGTGGGCCATTTTAACTGAGACTGAGAGATGCCAAATTTTTTAGCAAAGACATTAAGAAACTTACGAGACCATCTCTACAAAGCTCCAAATACTCAACCCATTTGCAAGGGTGAGGTGAGACAACAAGAAACATCCTAGTCTATCTCTATCTGTTGTTAACTTAAGCTCTACCCTAATATTAATATCTCAACTTACTCACAAAGTAATGCCAGTAGCTGCCAATTCCCATCACCAAATTAGACTCCAATGCTCCCTCCACGGCAACGAGGTGAAGCATCAGTGAAGGTTCATAGACTCGAGAACGAGAAGCTGCTTTACTTTCATGTAAAGACTCAGCCCTCAGGCCCTCTGCCTCATTTCCCGGTGGCTCCGGCAGCTAGTCATCTTGTTAAGTGTATTATCAGTTTATTAGTCGTTGTTGGGGAGTTAAGGGTTCTAATTTCTCTATCTAAACACATAATACAAAGGATAGTGAGGAGGATTGTTATTGTCATCGGCTCCAATTCTGAGGCCTGAGGGCCCACCCAATCCTTTTCTTCTGATCAGATAAATGAGATAATGGATCCCACACCCATCAGAGTTGGTAATGCGTGTGGTCCTAACTTCTTTCCTTTCTTTTTATTTTTAAAATCTTTATGGTTGTGGGGGCCCAGCCCACTTTGCTTTCAACCCTAACCGCCTCAAACATGCATGGCCGACAGCATTGGTGTCTCGGAGAGGCACGCCATCAAATTTTCTGGAACGTGATCCTCCGGTCCTCCCCTCCAAAAGGGGTCCTTCAAATTTAAAAAAAAAAGAAAAAAGAAAAAAAAAATCTTAGCAATAGAATCATGTAGTTGGATCAGGGCCCTTCTCTGCAAAAGAGGGCTTTTTTTTTTTTTATGAGGGAGGGTTTTGGGTCATGGGGCCCAAGTTGCCACGTGTTGGGTCAGGGCCCATAAGACCATAACCCAATGGGTCCCACTTATAATGGCATCTGCACCAAATATCAGCTTGAAGGTGTGCTGTCTTGGGTTGGGTGTATTTTCGTCGAGCTTTTATAGCTCCACCGTCAAGAATCATCGGGTTCATTTTTTCTTTTTTTTCTTCTGATGGGGAGGACTCATTTTCATAGTGGGCTCTGGGCTGGATCCCCCTCCCTGCTGCCTGGACGGTTGTTATTGGCCTACACTGGTTTATGAAAGTTTTCCACTCAAGGGTATATTTGTCATTTTCTTTCTGAACTAATGTGAGACGAAGACGACCAAAAGAATGCACCTCCGAGAAGTTAATCTATAGAAAAGGATATATTTTCATTGTCTTCTTCATCGGATTTTGTTTTCTTCATTCAGTTTTAAATTTATTGAATTGGGCCCTAACCCTAAGACCCAGTAATAGTATCAGCCCAACCGAAATTAGCCGCACTTGATGGCTGTATTGCTGGCTGTTTAACCAATAATAACGTCTCACGTCATTCATCAAGTGTACGTGGCCCACAATTACTTGCTCTAATCTCTCACCTTTCGTGTATGGCTGACGTGGGGTGTTATTATTGTGATGCGGCCATCAAATGCAGCTAATTCGGATTCCAGAAGGAAAAGTTTTTTTTTTCTTTTTTGATTATCACAAGTTCACAACTGTCCAAATATTGACTATTCTGAAGGTTGTAGCCGTCCGATGTAATATACGATAAATGAAGTTACAGAAAAAGTACAAGAACAATGTCTGGTCTGGTTGATAGAAACAGACATTAACGACCTTTTGCTTGGCTCATTTGCCAATGGGTTTCTCATATTACGGATTTGCCCCTCTCCCTGTATCCTTCCTTGGATGTACAACTACATATATAATATAAACGTAGGAGAGAGTCCATGTTCACTGAGCAGACACCACACAGCAAGAGGGTGAAAGAAGAGACCTAGAAATCGATGCAGGTTGAACGTGGAATTGCAGAGAAGAAAATGGAAAAAAATACCCAACTTTTCTTCAAAAGCAAGCTAAGGTGATGCAGAGGAAGTGGGGGCTTTTGATTGCTAATGTCATCATCCCAAGTGTCATATTAATGAAGTCTGCTCCCACCACGCAACATCATAAAGCGCAGTGGCAACAATTCTTCTTGGCTCCTTTTTTTTCTTTCTTTATCTCCCCACTTCTTCTTCTTCTTCCTCCTCTGCTGCTCTCCCACTTTCTACAGTCTTTAATGGTGGCTACCTGAACTAATCCATAAAGAAAGTTATAAATTAGTTAGTCTTTGTCCTGGGTTTCTGTTTTTTGGTTGGTGAACCAACACGAAAAGGTTTTTTATTATATCAAAAAGCAAGTTTTGGTTCTGGGGTTTCTATTCTTTTTTAGTTTGTAGTGGCAGAGGCTCCGAAATTGAGAAAAAACGATGGAGGTGGAAGAGGAGAGAGATGTGGAGGGGAACTGGAGTTCGGAGGTTCTGAATGTGTAGAAGACTGAATTGGGCTTTCTTTTTCTCTTTCTTTTTTATTAATTCTGGAAAGAAATGCTTGTACTTTGGTGCTTTGGGAGCCTGGGAGGATCTTCTGTAGCATAAGTTTGAGATTTTAGCCTGGAATGGGGAAAAAGGAGAAAGCTTATTATTGAAGGAGTAAGAATTTAGTGGTTGAAATTGGTTTCCTGATACCATTGTCCTGAAAATGTAGAGAGGACGAAGAATTTGGAATTGGTTTTGGTTTGGAAGAGAATGCTTTTCTTGTGGAAACTTTCTCTAATGATGGTTAAATTTCGGATTTTACAGTCCAAGACTATAAGCCGTCAGCCCTTCTAAGCTCGTAGTTTCTGTGTTAATCTATCTTTTGATTTACCATTGAAGTTTGCGTGAACGAACTGTTGAGGTATTCCCCCCAATCTGAATTCTGAATTGGTCTTTCAATCAGAGAAAACGCGTATTACCAAAAGTTTCATGAGTCTTCACTGGAAGATGCTTAATTAAAGCGGAAAAAAGAAAAGGAAGGTTTCTATTCCTTTTCTTTTCTACTAAATGAAAGCAGCTGGAATCCTTTGCTTTGCCTCCTTGGAAAGCTAGCAGTTTGAAATTGAAATTTGGTTTTCTTCTTCCTTCAGAGATATCTCCCTCTCCCACTGGAGCTCCCTCTTCTTTTTTTTTTCCTTCACCCGCCTGAAACCAATGATCAGAATTTCAGGTACCTATTTTTTTTCTTTGTTACTAAATAAAAGCAATATAAAAATGTTGTTCTGTGCTTTCTTAATCTCATTGTTTCTTCCTGAGTTGTTGTGTCTCGGTGACTGAGTTACTCGCATGAATGTGTATTTACTCTAACAGACTAACTCATAGTCAGGAAGATAACTAGCATTCATTTCAAAAGAATTCTCAAATGGATCTAGCATTGTTAAGTGATGGTTAGGACTGTGGCTCACTACATTGAGTTCATAAGCTCAAGCCCATCTTACCCAGAGAGGAAAATAAATTTGACTCAATCACAGGGGGTGCTTATGGAAATGTGAACATTGTAATCTTTTTTCATTCAGAGAACTATAATAGGACTGATGCTCTCAGTGAGGCAGGTTAGAACTGATCTAACACCTTCTGACCTTTTTTTTTGGGTATTAAAAATTCCAGTTTTGTTCAGATTCATTTTATCTGGGTTTGTTGTGAATTAAGACATTGAATTGTTCATTTGCCAATGTTCCTTGTTTATTCTGGAAATGATTGACCAGGTAGATAATTAAAGAGATAATTGCAAAGAAATTTTTTGTTAGTTGGAGGCTCTAGGTTGAAAGCTGAATAGAAAAATTAGTTCCTTTATCCCCAAAAATAGAGGATTATTGTTTCAGGTTAGGATCTTTCTCCCTTCTTTTTGCAGTTCTGTGAGACTGATATGGATGGGAAAGTTCTCAGATACACGTAAGTTTTTTATCATTCAGAATTGTCATCTCAGAAACAAAAACTGTGTTTGGTCACTTTCAAGGAACAATGGCTACTAGAAAGTGGAAACTAGCCAATAAAGTATGTGAGTGTACACAAATTGGGGGGAGAGGGTTCTCAGATGACATGCATATCTTATTTACTTTTCATACTTCTTTGTTTCCTTCTAATCTAAATCAGTCAGCAGTGTCTAAAATGCACCAATTTCTTGTCTATCTTCTCTGATTTTATTCTGGACTTTGGTCTTATTCAGCAAAGATAGGGATCCATTCTTGAATTTGATGTATTAACTATAGATAACTTCAGTTTCTCTGGATTATTAGCAAGCTCCCATAATCATATTATTCGATATTTTGTTTGGAATCTTTAACTGTTTTTAAGTTTTTGGTTATGCAGGATGTTATTTTCTGCATTTGTTCCTTTTATTGTATTTATGCTTTAGCAATGCTTTAACAAATAACTATATCATGTATATTGGAATTTTTTAATGTTGGAAAAATATATTTTCTTTCAATACAAATCACTCATCTTCTTAATTGGGTATCCCTGTTTTCTCTTCATTAGGTTTGATGTACTCAGGTTAGAAAGGTTGGTTTGGCTTAACTTCAGTCTTCAGGTAGTGGAGTTGAGTGATTTTCATTCACTATGGCAAAGAGATCACAGAGATGCCCTGCTCGACGTGAAAAGGACCAATCTGGTTGTATGTGGGGTTTGATTAGTATTTTTCACTTCAACCAAGGTCGTTTTACTCGAAAACTTCTATCAGATCGGAAGCGTGGGGGCAGAAACACTGTTGGTAAGAAACATGCATAAATTTTGTATACAATTATTGGCACTATATGTCTTGGAGTCTGTGGTACTCTTTTCATAACTATTCATACATTTTTTGTATCAATGGTATTGCCTTCACACTGGGAATAGAAAACACCATAGATCTCTTTCCCCTCTTCTGGAGCCAATTGAATGCCCTCCCAAAGAATTTAGTCCACCTTGTTGAAATGCATTTCTACATTGACATCTGCAAGCTGTTTGCTATAGCATCTTTAAGACCAAATGGCATAAAAATAGCTTGTTTTTAATGGTCTTGGAAAAGGTGATAACCGGTATGACACCTTAATCACCTATTGGTTTGTCAGTCTTCAGCAATTGCATTAAGCCTCCATAGTAGAGTGTCATATGCTAAATATTGAAAAGAAAAAAAAAATAGTGTATCTTCAATGGTTAAGCTAGTCCATACTGCAGCATTACTATCTGTTATATGCAAATTTGTTTTATGTCCTTCAACAATTCTATTTCACATGCCAAAGCTGATTTTTTTTCCTCCCTTCTGCAGGTGCTGGATATTCAAGGAATAAACAGAACTTGCTAGATTATGATGGAAAATGTAAAGGCACTAATGTAAGGGTTGACAACTTGTCTAATCCAATTAAATGCATATTTTGCATCATTTGTCTTGTTTTGGCTTCCAAGAAAATATAAGAAAGTGAAACAGGATTTAAAATAAAAGATAGAAGGGAAGAAAAATGAAAAAAAAAATGTAAATTGGCTGCTAGTAGAATCTATGTGTTTGGACAAATAAATATCATGTAATATTACTTTAAAGCTTAAATCCTCCTGTTTTTCATTCATTTTTTAACCTTCAGATAGCATATTATGCTATTAAGGATAAAATGGAAGTAAATTCAATAGACTCCCAATGTTTATTTTTCACATCTATGTCCAAGGAATCAAACTATTATTTCCTCTAATAAGCAATTAAAGGTGTATTAGAGGGGAAGAAAGAATAGAGCTTGCTTTAACAAATGTGATTCCCTATGTCTAGTGATGTTGTTCTGCTGTCATCTGACAGTCAAGCTGAGCATTCAGCCCATAACTAAGAAATATAACTTTTAAATACTACCTAAAAGAAATAAAGAACACTAAAGCCCATTCGGCCCATTCTCACTACACTCCCCCTCAAGCTAAGCATAGATGTCAATCATGCCCAATTTGCTTACATAATGTTGAAGCTTTGCCTTTAGAACTCCCTTAGTTAGAAAATCTGCTAGTTGCTCTTCTGATGCAATGAAAGGTAGGCACACCTCTCTTGAAGCCACTCTCTCCCATATAAAGTGTCTGTCTACCTCAATGTACTTAGTTCTATCATGCTGAACTGGGTCGTGAGCAATGTTAATAGCAGCTTGTTTATCACAATACAACATCAGTGGCTCGTCACATGAAACACCCATCTCATTAAGGAGAGATCTAAGCCATAACTACTTAGAAACACCATGGGCCATAGCTCTGTACTCTGCCTCAACTGAAGATCTAACAACCACTGATTGCTTTTTGCTTCTCCAGGAAACAATATTTCCGGCTACCATAGCACAACATCCTGATGTGGATTTCCTATCATCCACATTTTCTGCCCAATCAGCATCTATGTATGCTTCTACCTTCATGTGTCCAGGTTTAGCAAATAATATACCCTTCCCAGGGGTTCCCTTAAGGTAGCATAACACCCTTTCTGCAGCAGCCATATGTGCATCTCTAGGAGCATGCATGAACTGGCTGGTGACACTCACAGCATATGAAATGTCTGGACGAGTCATACATAGATAAAGAAGTTTCCCTAGTAATCTCTGAAACACTCCCCTGCCATCTAAAAGTTCTCCATCATTAGATGAGAGTTTATGATTCACATCAATAGGGGTAGAGGCAGGTTTAGCACCAAGTTTTCCTGTCTCAGTAAGAAGGTCTAGAATATACTTCTGTTGAGAAATAAAGATACCTTCCTTGGACCTAGAAACCTCAATGCCTAGAAAATACCTTCCTGAGAGCACTAACTTCTTCTGTATCACTGCCAGTAACCACAATATCATCTACATAAACTATAAGAAATGTCGCCAAAGTGCCTTTTCTCTTAACAAAGAGGGTATGGTCTGATTGAGTCTGAATATAGCCGAACTGAACAAGAGTAGCCCTGAACCTATCAAACCAAGCACATGGAGATTGTTTCAGGCCAAAAAGTGATTTCTTCAATCTACACACCTTACCCTGCATTTCCTTGCCATATATACCAGGCGGAAGGGACATATATACCTCTTCAGTGAGACATATATACCTTTTCAGTGAGATCACCATTCAGGAATGCACTCTTAACATCAAATTGATATAGAGGCCAATCATAGTTCACTGCTAAGGATAAAAGAACTCTCACTGAAGTCATCTTAGCAACTAGAGAAAAAGGTCTCAGTGTAATCTATCCCATATACCTGGGTATATCCCTTGGCAACAAGTCGAGCCTTATACCTCTCAATTGACCCATCTACACGATACTTGATAGTAAAAACCCACTTGCACCCAACAGGTTCCTTCCCAGCTGGCAAGTCAACAATATCCTAGGTATTGTTTTTATGAAGGGCTTCTATTTCAGTACTCATAGCATCCCTCCAATCTAGTGTGGCTAAGGCTTCTGAAACATACTTTGGGATGGATTGAGAGGAAATAGAGGCTAGAAAGGCATAGTAGGATGGGGACAACAAGCTATAGGAAAGGTGTTTGGAAATACAATGAGATGTACATTTCCTCTTACCTTTTCTCAAAGCAATGGGTAGGTCAAGGTCTGGAAACGAGGATGCAGATGGAGGAGGTGATGGACATGTCCTCTCTTCAGTAATTGGGAGAGCCTGAGACTCAACTGGAGGTGTGGAATCAACCTGTGTTTGCCTTAGCCTTTGCTGCTGGTACCTCCTCTAGAGAATAGGATGAGTGGAAACAAATGGAGGACTAGTAGGAGGAGGGGGAGGAGTAGGAGTGGAAGACCTTAAAGGAGAGGATCCCTCCATGGGAATGGGGGTAACTGTGGAGGGCTCAACACAAGACTCAAATGGAGTTGGCAAAGGAAGGGATGAAGAAAACAACTTGAGAGATCTCTCCCCCTCAAAAGGATGGCTATAAAAAGGAACTGACTCTACAAAAGTGACATCCATGGAAACAAATCGGGTGCCACTAATGGGATCAAAACAACAGTACCCTTTCTATGTGGAGGCATAACCAAGGAAGATACACTTCTGAGCCTTGGGGTCAAACTTGTGTCTTTTGGAATTGGGAATGTGGACTAACAAGTGCAACCAAAGACCTTCAAAGGAATAGAGAAAATCTCAACATCAGGAAAGAGGACTTCAAAAGGAGATTTTAACCCCGAGACTTGAGAAGGCATGCGATTAATAAGATAGGTAGTTGTTAAAACTGCATCACCCCAAAACTTCACAGGAACATAGGTAGAAAAAAGAATACTCCTTGCAACTTCCACAATGTGTCTGTTTTTCCTCTCCTCTACTCCATTTTGTTGTGGAGTGCAGGCACAAGAGCTCTGATGAATAACCCCAAACTTCTCAATATAGGAGGTAAGGTCCTTCTCAAAACATTCCTTAGCATTGTCTAACTGGAATATTTTGATGCGGGTATTAAACTGAGTGTATGTGTTCGTGGAACTGTTGCATAAGTTTAGGCACTTCAGCCCGAGAACGCATAAGGTAAATCCAAGTATATCGTGAAAAATCATCAATAAGCAGGTTGAAATATTTATACCCACCCATACATGGTAAATGGCAAGGCCCCCACACATCAGAGTGAACAATATTAAAAGGAATAGTTGATCTTTAATTACTTGAAGGGTAAGTGCTCTTACAATGCCTTGAGAACTCACAAGACTCAATGAAGACTCTATAGGCTAATTCCTTTAAATAACTCTGGAAACAACTGACTTAATGAAGAGAAGGACAAATGACCCAAACGATTATGACATAACATAATACGACCAGTGGACTCTGAAACAAATGCAGTTCTCTTAGGTTGTACTTGGCTCTGCTCAGGCATGTCTAACAAATAGATCACATTCGCCTCATGGCCACTCCCAATCACCTTCTAAGATTCCATGTCTTGAAAAATACAATATGAAGGAAAAAAAGGTCACACTGCAATTTAGGGATTTAGTTAATTTACTAACTAAAAGAAAATTGGTATTAAGTTTAGTTGCATGAAGAACAGATGATAAGGTCAGGGCATTAGAGGTCTTAATGTCTCCCTTTCCCATGATAGGGGCTAGGGAGCCATCAGTAAGGGATATCTTATCCTGGCCAGAAGAAGTTGGTAAGAGGTGAATAACTGTGAAACAATGGTCATATGGTCAGAAGCACTAGAATCAATTATCCAAGGGATTTTGTGAGTACCTAAGACGGAAGCATGATGTGTAGTGGCACGAATACCTGAGTGGGCATATGTAGAGGAAGGAACAATCTCTGAAGGAGTTGTAGCAGTGGACTCCAAGTGACTGATGATTTGGCCATACTTCTCATATTCAGCTCGGGCAGTTGCAAGTTGTTCTCCCACTGACTTCTCTCCACCCTTTCCTTGTTCACCTTGTGAAGAGGTGGCTACATTTGCATTTCCACCTTTTCTAGTTTCAACCCTTTTTCCACCATTTTCTTTCTTGAATCTGGCAGGAACGAGCTCTGGATGCAGCTTCCAACATGTGTCTTTAGTGTGTTTAGGCTTCTTTGTAGTATTCACAGATAACATCTTTCTTCCTAGTGCTAACCTTCGGCTTCATCCCAGCATTAGTATAGTGATCAACCTGTGTCTTAATAGACCGAACCTGTCTTCTGCTCTCCTCACTACTCACCATAGCATATGCCTGAAATCAAGTCACCTCATCCTTTGCTAAAACATTCTACCTCACAATATCATACTCCGAGTTGAGTCCAGTGGGGAACTCAATGACTCAATTTCTCTCCACCAACCCTCCTATATGTTTCTACATCCTTTGTAGAACCCCAAACAACAGTCTCCATCAGATCAATCTCTTGCCAAAGAGATTTCAGCATAGAGAAGTAGACTGCTAAGGTCTTCTCCCCTATCTAAGATTATTCACATCATGCTTCAATTTGTAGGCCCGAACAACATTAAGCTTTTGGGAATAGGTTTCTATAACACTATCCCACACTTCTTTTGCAGTTTCCATCCACAGGTAATGTTGACTAATGTGTGGTTGCATAGAATTCACTAACCAACCCACTGCTATGTAGTTTTCCTACATCCACCTTTCACAGGTAGGATCATCGTCCTCTGGTTTCTTCTTGCTCCCGGTAATATAACCCCATTTTCCTCTACTACACACATGTATCTTAATAGATTGAGACCAAGCTAAGTAATTGGTCCTATCTAGCTTCACAGTAGTCACAGACCCAAAAAGATTCTCCACTGACCCCCATGTCCAAACCCGGAATCTGTGGAATATTTGGTCTCTCCTCCAATTTGCTCCATTGAGTAAATTGGATGCAAACAAAAATCAAATTAGGGCTTTACTAGGCTAGATTTACTGTTCTAAGCAAAGAACAACCTTTCAACCCCCCAAAATTAGGGTTTCATAGGGTCCTACGGGATGGGGAGAAAGAGAGAAACTTCAACTGCCCCTTCCAGAGGTTCCAGGATTCAATCCAACCAAAACTGCCCCTAATAGAAATCAAAAAGCTTACCCTTGATCCCCAAGTGCCTGGTTCAAATTGTCTCTACGACCTGTAACAAGGTTTCTCCAGTTATATAGGGTTTTTGGGAAAAATCTCCAAGAACCTGCCTTGGGCTTCAACTAAGGATGAAAAACCTCCACAGAACTCTCCAAAAACCTTCCTAACTGGGCTGCATAAGTAGCTGATTGATCAACCAATCAGTTCTCTATACACACTATGTATGGACAAAGAAAGGAGAAAAATCAAAAATGAGAACCCGCTCTGATACCAAGTTGAAAATTACACTTACAGTAATTCAGATAATGCAAGAAAAGAAGAAAAGAGAGAAAGAAAAAGAAGTTTCAGCAAGGTTGTATAAGAAGAAAAAAAGGGAAGAGAGAAAAGAAGAATTTGAACCTCTCTCTCTCTCTAGCCCCCCCTTTCATCACTTTTATTAATAATTCTAAGTCTGAGTTCAATTACTTGGATGCCCTTAATGGGGAGTCCAGCACTAAAGTAATAATTAAAAAAAATAAAAGAAGGCCCATAACTAAGAAACATAACTTTTAAATACTTCTTAAAAGAAATAAAGAACACTATGGCCCATTCATCCAATTCTCACTACAATACTTTATACTACAGTCCATTAATATTATGCTTTATATTATAATATATTTATATTTAGACTTACATTTCGAGTTTTCTGGATTTTCATATATTTTCCACCTTCTAGAGAAGCTTTCATAGGCTATATAATGAAGCATAATTCTGATTGCAAAATGTTGGCTGCCATTGAAGTCTGAACAAGCTTTTTTTTCTTTTCTTTTTATTTTTTTGTTGTAAAAAAGTGTTCATAGATAGACATGTGGCAGTTAAAAGATAACCAAAGGCCAGGCCTTATCTTTATTATAGAATACAAGTAATGAGGAAAAGCTGCAACTTTTTCTAGATGTCCTTCTAAACTCCTTCAAGGGCCATACTCAGAAAATGTGGGGGAAATATTACCATAATGTTTGTTATTTATCGATATCTTTCTTATGTTATAGCCCAAAAAAAATCTTTCCAGAGAGGGCGGGGTATTGGCTCTTTGGTTTGACTCCTCATCTCATATGCTTTCCCACTCTTGTGCTTCCTCTTTTTTTTTCTTTTATAGATTGTTTTATTTTGTTTTATTTCTTACTTTTGATTCTATTTTCTTTTCAAACTACCTGCACGTGCACTGATAAATCTATCCATCCTTCATCTTACTATACAATAGTTCTTCAATTTGTTTGTTTAATGCAAGTACCACATCACTAGCATATATGAAATGGTATTTCCATTTCAAAATTTTCAGTATGTTGACAAAAGCAAGAAAGTTGAAGTTGATAGCGATATCACAAGTGTAAAGAAACTCATGGAAGAAGAGATGTCCCATGAGCAATATCCAAAGAAACAGATAGTCAGTGCTTCAGTGGAACAGATACAATCCAATTCAGGAGGCAGGGACCACCAGGGGAAGCATCAAGAACAAAGAAAAAGAAGTTGCAATAAATCTTATGATATGCATGCCCACGAGTTGAAAGACTCTGTAAGCTCGGAACATCATCAGCTTTGTCATCCAAATTCAGTGGAGGAATCTCTAGATAATATCAACCTAGACGCACTGATGGAAGAGTTCTTTAGTCAGATCCATCAACACCTGGAAATACCTCTGCTGCATGACAACAAAAGAGATCCTTGTGATGTTCAGGGGAATACTAAATCTGAGAATCAGAAGCAGCTTGATGAGATTAAAATGCAGCTGACTCAAAAGCATTCTATTCTTCAAGATAAGCTGAATGAACTTACTGAGGCCTTTCTAAATCAGAAGTTCATTAATGTGAAACAACTAATTGAAGATGGGACAACCCACCAGTCTAAGCATTTCATGGATGCTGTAGAGATAAACAAGGAATTGTTTTTGAAACTGTTACAGGATCCAAACTCACTGTTGGTGAAACATATTCAAGAGGTACGAGATGTTCAGGCAGAGAAAGTTGGACCAATTGAATCATTAGAAGAAGCGAATCTGTCAGAAGAAGAAACTGGCATGTCAAGGCAATGTGAAGAGCTTGTCATTCACAAACAGATTCAGAAACTGAATATGCATAGTTTCTTTTGGAGGAAGAAATCTCAAGACAGAAACCCATTGAAGAGAGATGATAATCCTTTAGCTTCAAATAAAATTGTCGTTTTGAAGCCTGCAGCAGGTATGCAAATTTGTGAAAGTGAGACCAGTTGTAGCTCAATGCCACAGTCTCTTTATAGCTTGAAAAATCAAGGGCAGAGCATGGGAACCACTTCACATTTTTCTCTTACAGAAATAAAAAGAAAGTTGAAGCATGCCATGGGAGAAAGAAGAAAGGAGTTGGCTGGAATTCCAATAGGTGGTATCATACATGCACCTTCTAAGACTCAGGATTCAGGTGATTGTGGCAAAGGAACTGAAAAAGAAATAGTTGGAAAGAAATTGCCAAGTAAACCCCATTTTCATGACGAAAAGTTCGTAAAGATTTCCATGAATGTCAAGAATGGAGAAAAGTTGAGCAAGCCAAAAGAGTGTAAATTAAGAATTGAAGACAGGGATGCTTCAACCAGTGTTAATGGCCATGGAAGTTTAAACATGGTGACTGCTGAATATCCAAAAAAAAGAGAATCGAACATCTACACTGAGGCTAAGAAACATCTTGCGGAAATGTTGAGCACTGGGGACGAAAATGAATATTTGTTCAGTAAGCAGGTCCCAAAAACATTGGGGAGGATTCTCTCTCTTCCTGAATATAACTCGTCACCAATATTCAGTCCTGGTAGAGAGGGGGTAAATAGTTTTGTAAATAAGAATATGAAGTTCTCCCTTTATGATAATGTTGATGAGGGCACGCCCCAGCTTAAACAAGATAATGTCAGCTGCTTAAGTCCATTGAGGAAGAATATAGAAACTCTACCATGCACTGATGACAGTATTGACAACCCAATGCATATCTCTGACTCCAATTCAGATGTACCAGAAGAGCTTATTCCTGAAAATAACTTGTCACCAATATTCAGTCCTGGTAGAGATGGGGTAAATAGTTTTGTAAATAATAATATGAAGTTCTACCCTTATGATAATGTTGATGAGGGCATGCCCCAGCTTAAGCAAGACAATGTCAGCTGTCTAAGTCCATTGAAGAAGAATATAGAAACTCTACCATGCACTGGTGACAGTAAACCTGACAACCCAATGCATGTCTCTTATTCAAATTCATATGTTCCAGAAGAGCTCACTCCTGATAGCACAATACAGGAAGGCATCTGTACTTTTGAGGAAGCACCGAGTCCAAAAGGTACTATGTTCTCTATCCTCCAGCTTATAGTAAGAAATAAGTAGCATTTTCGTAGTCCTCATGCTCACACTTGTGTGTTTATGCAGATGATGTGATTATTGTAGAAGTAACTGATACTGTAGATGCCAACCAAAGCAACACCCTGGATGAGCCCATTGAGCTAAGTAGCAATAAGCCCATCAGCAGGACCAACCAAAACAGTGACACATCCAAAATTAGTGAGGAAGAAGGATCTCCTGAACAGTCAAGACTGGTAAATTATTATTCCTTGTGGAGATACTTATATCTTGTATTTATCAACTATAGTAGTCACTTATTGGTGCTCCTTGAACTCGTAATTAGAATTTATGTGTCACTGCTGGCTTTGTTCTCTTCCAGGAGGCACCTGAAGAGAGCAAGCTAATGTCACCTCCATTAAACCCCCCATTGTCAAGCTCTCCATGCATCAAGAAAGTAGAAGATGTGGAAGAAATCAATAATGGAGTAGAACGGGCAAGTCCAGTATCCGTCCTTGAGCCATTTTTAGAAGATATTATCAGCCCTGCAAGTACTCCATCCCAGTTTGGTATGCCTTTTACAAGGAAGCATAAGAATTTCACATTTATTTCTTATCCCTCAAATTACTTTTACATTAAACCTAATTTGGTTTTAATTTAATTAAACATCTGCAGCCAGTCCACCTAGCAAACCACTACAAATTGATTTTCAAGAACAAGATTCCTTGGATTTGGTGTTAACAACTTCAAGTTCAGAAATCAACTTGAGCAGTTGCGTGGAAGAAAAAAGGTCTACTTTTGAGTATGTAAGAGCAGTGTTGTTAGCCTCTGGCTTGAGATCAGATGAATTCTTCAGGTGGAATTCCCCACAACAACTTCTTGATCCTTCCTTGATTGATGAAGTAGAAATCATCTCTGCACAACATTGTGGCAACCGGAAGCTCCTCTTTGATTGTATCAATGAAGTTCTTATCGAGGTGTATGAGCGTTATTTTGGATGTTCTCCATGGGTTTCATTTGTCAAACCTAGTATCTGTCCAGTGCCTGTGGGGAAAAATATTATTTGTGAGGTCTGGGAAGGCATAGATTGGTATATCCTACCACAACTGCCACCACAAACATTAGATCAGATCATTGGGAAAGACATGGCAAAAGTAGGAGCATGGATGGATCTCAAACCTGATTTAGAAAGTATTGGTTTTGACATAGAAGAAGCCATTCTAGAAGAACTAGTGGAAGAGATGATATTTGAGTAGTACATTTGAAATCTGTATTATAGAAAGGATATTCATGCTTTCATTTAAATGGGAAACGGCAAGGAACAGAAGATGAGGCCTAGTAACAGTCTCTGAAATGGTAAATCCTGCCACAGATTCCACCACAAACATGGCACAAGTAGGATCATGGATGGACCCCAAACTTCATAGAAAGTAGTGGTTTCAACATAACAGGAACTACTCTGGAATAACTGGTGGTAGAGATCATTATTGAGGTGTGCACTTGAAATCTGTATATTAAAAAAGATTATACCATGTTTTGAAAAGAGGACAAGACCAGGCAACAGTTCACTTTGGACTTCTGCCAAACTGTGGCCCTCCTCGTGGTTATTTTCTCTTGAAAAACGAGGCATTGCATCAAACTAGGCCCTTCACAGATGCTTATTTATCATGTTACAGCCAATTCAACTTTTTTTCTGACAATGGCCATTAATTGGAGCCTTCTTCTAGACTGTTTGTCATCCCCCCCCCCCACCAAACTGTCCAAGGGATACAATAGGTATGGTGGTTACAAGCTTCTTTTCTAGTTGACGTTATAGCAGAGGATGCATTCTTCACATCACTGTAAGAGGTGGAAAGAGTGTGGCTTGAGGGTGTTGATTGAGAGTGAATAATTGTAACTAATGGTTCTTGTTTTTTTCCTGTTAATTCTTTCATTTTCTCTCTCTTTTATACTGAAGGCGTGGTTTCTTTTGTTCAACTCAACGAAATCATATCCAATTGAGATTTCTTTGTGTATTTTGCATATTAAGATATTGTTCCACATGTTGCTTAATTGATCCTAAACATGTTTATTTGTACAATGAGTGCAGATCTTTCAAGCAGGGATAAGCCACTATTTGGTCAAATCAATTGTCGAAATCAGTTGCAAAATTTAAACTCCGCAAGGGGTTTAAATTTAATACTCAAAGCAATGAAAAGAGTTCAAGATTAATTATGAGGGAAATCCAAGAGGCTAGTTAAACTCATGAACAAAAGAAACTGAATCTGATCACATTCCTTACATAACACTAGTGGAAGACAATACATTTAGATTTTGAAAATTTTTCACTCGTACTTCTCTAAATATCTAAACTCAGTGATTGGGTTTTAACAACTGCTGTTTGCAAGCATTGACAGTATTATGATACCATTAAAATATTCCGATTTAACTTTCATGGCCTGGAGTGGACATGAAGTCGGGAAAGTATCAACATTGTAATGTTCTTTGCTGTATTTGGTTGCAATGCAAATAAATCTGTACTGATGCAAAACTATGGCAGTGCAGATGATTTGAATGTAAATCCTCACCTATTTTTGTTTCAAAATTTAGCTTATTTTTTTTGATTGCAAAACAAATGAATTAAATTAAGACAAAGCAGAATAAAGTAAAATCCAAAACAAAATTAAACAAGAATTTGCATTTTTTACATTTGCACTCCCATGCATTTGTACTAGTGCAAATAAATTTGCACTGCAACCAAACACAGCCTTAACACCAATTCATGCATTCCATATGTCTCTTCTAGCATGCCTTGTGTATAATTGAGTTGGCCATGTGACAACTCCTCACTCTCTTTGATGCATCAAGGGAGTGTGGTTTATATAAGATGTAGTGTGCCCACTATGGTGTGGTTGAAATCACATGGTTCTAACCACAAACACTCTATAAGATGTTTTGCAATGTGTGTGGTTATATTTGTTGTGTTGGTACCTTGAATTCTAATTGCGACTCACTCTATGGCCTAACCTGAATCAAGTTGAGAAAAAACCCAAAGGCAAAATTTCACAATGGTTTGTGGTGGAACAGATATGTAAGATGGTGTATTTTGGATGTATTGGGAGCTAGGGTTCGGTGAAGGAGGTTGTATTTTGTATACATTGTGACTGTGATCTCTACTATTTCTATAGTGGATTTCTTGTCTTCTAACACCCATGGATATAAGCTACAAATTGGACCACATAAATCTATATGTGCATTCTTGAGTTGCTCTCATTTTCTTCATTTTCTAATCGATTTCAATCATTGGGTTTGTTCATTCACAACAATATTGTTATCAAACTTTTAAATAAAATATTCATGTTATTTATTACATTACATACATTAATCATTCAATTTATAGTGTTATATGGTGATTCTTGGGATTTTTGGCATGGAAGAGAAATTTTGGTATTTTCAAAACCATCCACAAATATTTTCAAAATATGCTACACCCAAAGTGCCTAGTGTAAGCCTGTTAATGATACTTGAAACTCCAATGACCAAATTCAACATTCAATTTGATTATCTCAAATTCAGTTGAGTAGAATCAAATTCGATTTATATATATTACTATTATATAATATATAATATATTAAAGCTTTTAGTGTATTTAGTACAAAATTGACATCCGATTCAACTTTGATATATTATATACATAATTGAATTTTTCAATATATTATATATAGTACATTAAAGCCTTTGTTCTTTTTCATTGAACTTTGAAGCCTTGTTTTGAATAGAATTTTAAAGAATTTAGTATATTTAGTAGATAATTGGACTCCTAAACAAGACAATTTTATTGAGCCTAGAGTAAGTTCATCAAAGTCAGATGAAATCCGAAATCCAAAAAATCCGATCGGAGTTGAACTCAGATGCATTGTTCTTACATCCTATTGGGTTCGGATACCATTAATTCATTGTCAAATTGAACTTGGGTTTAGGTGAATTTGATCTGATAACAAGCATGTTGTGGTGTGTTTTAGAACCAAACAATCCACATAATATCCTACTTCAGAATACCCTCTTTTTGTTTATTTGCAAAAAACAAAACAAAAGATTAAACACCAAACTATTTGGACTCACCCATAAATGGTTCAAACTCCTTTTATATATAAAAAACTGAATCAAATTGCTCCCCTATGGACTAGGGGGCATCTTTTAGACTAGTTTCTCTTCTAATGTGTGTGTATCAAAAGAAATTAAAGTCAAGTTGTATTCTTGCATCTACAAGGCTAATAATATGCAAACAAACTATCTCACCATGTAAGAAAAAACAAACTATCACTGGGCTTTTTTGGGATTCATTGAAATCTCAACTTTTCTCACTCCACACATTCAAACTTAATGATTTCTCTCTTTTCATCTCATGGAAAGTTCTATAGATTTAGTAAAATTGTATGAAAGTTGTTCTTTCATGATAAAACAATTGATTTACTATGGCTAGTGGTCATGTCAAAAACAATTCATGTTGTGTTGTATGGTGGTGTGGAGCTGTTTCTTTGCGGCATAAGTGCCATATAGGAATTTTCACTAAAACAAACTAAAATCTTATTTGGTTGGTTGATCAAATACAAATATTTTGTATTTTTTTTCTTGAATAATGTGAAAGTGGCTTTTAAACAAAAACACCATTTCAATGTTTTCTGCCTATGGGAGGTGTCATAGGTGTCTACTGGTGTTTATATGTAATAGACAACAATAAACAATTTAACACTGTAATCTATGTCCAAAATGTCATTTATTTTCTCATTTCAAATGCATGAATCAAGTGCAAACACAATACTCCTATAACCAAGTTTCAAAATATCTATACACCCTAACAGGGAAAAAGAGGGTGTATTGGTAATTTAAACCTATCGCTTTATTTTTTAGGAGGTGTTCTTTTTTTGGATTTTTGAGAGGAGGGAAAGTTGGTCAATGGAATTTTGGTTCCCATTGACCAAGAATCCCATATTCTTTTTTCAGATTTATACGAGGACCAGGGAAAGTTTATTTTCCTGGGTATCACTTACCCGATGGGTAAATAACTTTCCCATCTCCTAGGTGGATAAATAACTTTCCCACCTAGGGGGAAAGTTGACAACACTTGAATGAGACAAAAATGCCCTTTTTAATAATGGATTTTTTTTGGCTAAAATGGTCATTGCCTTATTTACATGAGAAATAAAAGAGCATGGGTAAAGGCACTTACCCAGGTAAGTGTTTACTAGGAAAACCTTACCCAGGTAACTGCATTTACCTGGGTAAGTAATTTACCGAAAAACGAACGTGGCCTTATTGTTTTAAAATTAAGAGGGGGCTAGAAACAAAGTTTATTAACATTTAGGAGGCATTCTTTTTTCTAAATTTTGAGAGGGGGGAAAGTTGGTCAATGGGATTTGTTTCCCATTGACCAATAATCACATATTCTTTTTTCAGATTTATGTGGGGACTAGGGAAAGTTTATTTTCCTGTGTATCAAGTGATACCAATCTCCAATGTGGGTAAATAACTTTCTCACCCTGGGGGAAAGTTGCCAATACTTTAATGGGACAAAAATGCCCCTTGTAATAATGGATTTTTATGGCTAAAATGGTCATTATATTGTTTGCATGGGAAATAAAAGAACATGGGTAGATGCAATTACTCGGGTAAGTCTTTCCTGGGAAACACTTACCTGGGTAAATTTATTTACCCGAGTAAGTAACTTACCAAAAAGCGAACAGGGCCTTAAAACATAATCTTAAAAAAAAAAATAGTTGGATTGTTTTTTACCCGCTTCAACGTCTCCACCCATTTTAAGAAGAAATTTAGATATTTGTTTAATTACAATTGTATTGAATCAAATCTAAGAATATGATCCATTTATTAATCAGAATGAATTTAGATATTATTTGATTTGATTATATATAAAATTATTAGAATAAAAATATTATTTTTTAATATTATTATATATAAAATATTATTTCATATTATTTTTTTAATATTATAATTCTTTAGAATTAAATTGAACATGTATTTAGATAAATTTATTTATTTTTATTTTTAATATATATTTTTATGAGTTCAATTATGATACCAAAAAGACATGATAATGGAAAATCTTGCGGCCAATCAACCGCTATCATAAAAGAGATGACCAATCAAGTGGTACTTGATGAGGGCGGATTTGGCCCTCCAATGACATTATAACACCTGGCACCTCCTGACAAATAGGCAGATCGCCACTAGGCAGCTCGAAACTTACAGGCAGCTCACCACAGACAACTCGGCACTTACAGGCAGCTCGCCACCCAAACAGCTCAGCAGTTACAAGCAGCTCGCCACCCAAACAGCTCAGCACTTACAAGCAGCTCGAAACTTATAGGCAACTCACCACAGACAACTCGGCACTTACAGGCAGCTCGCCACCCAAACAGCTTGAAGGGATGAGAGATCCATCGTATGGACGCCCAAAGATTGCGGAATAAGGGGGCGAATTTCAAAAATTTTTCTCTCCCTTCAACTGGGAATCGCATTCCCTATTTTAGAAAATTATATTTTCAATGATCATTCTTGAACCATAAACTGAACCAGATCTGAATCAAAAGGAGTAGGAG